TGGCCGCTCCAGCTCGCCACTGAGAATGTCGCTAGGGATATACTACGCAGGAGATACGACTTCGGGAGCCGCTCATCATTCCTCTATTTTCTTTTCTTTTTCTTTTTCTGTTTCTTTTCTTTTTTTCTTTTTTCTTTTTCTTTTTTTTTTTTTTGCTTTGCTTTTTTTAATCTTGTCTTTGCTTCATTGTGCCGAAGAGGGAATCCACCAATCAACGCCACTATGGTCTAGTCGGGCTCGACTTCAATCATTATTCTTTCCAGCTCCCAGTACAATTTTTCAAAGTTGAGTTCGGTCTTTTCGCCTCTCCGGTTCATCGTATAGTTAACTATTCAAGGGATCCATGCATGCTAGAAAAGCCTCCATCCGGTTAAAGTCAAGAATACCCCTGCTTCGATAAATTGCCGATTTCACCCTGAAGCGGGCTATTAATAATGATATTCATTAGAAAGGGTCGCATTCGATGCGAGATCTCCTCACATTCAATTCCCCCCACCCGGAGCCAAGGACAAATAAGCACTTTCGGCCCAATTAAGATTTCTCGAAGTTACATTAGCTCCCTCTGTTCCTGTTAGTTATCCGCCTTTGGGCCATCTCCCGCCAGTGGGCTTATCCCTAATTTTGGGATTTCCAATTCCCTGCAGAAGCTATTTAACAGGATCCCCACAACAGAGAAGATGAGAGGGCGGATTATTTTTGAGAATCTTCAAAAAGGATTTGAGCAGAACGAAGTGCTTTTGTTAGAATGTTGGTACTCTGTACTCCGTACTCCGTACATGGCTGTAAAATCTCCAAAATGCACACATCATACACCCAGGAAGCTCTGGAACATGATGCCTTCCTTGGTTTTACTGCGTACAAACCGGCGACTCAACAGCGTCTGGTCTTTGAGCCATGGGTGAGACAGTCTCAGCTGAACAACTACTACTGGCACCATCACCACCACTACAGCCCTCATTCCACTGCACAATCGACAGAGGTCGCCGTCCCGAGTACTGTGTACAGGACACAGAGCACAGAATAGGTATCAGCGGCCACTACATGCCCCGTGAATTACAAACAAAAAGAATCACATATATTTTAACATTCTCTGCACTTGGATACTTCCTCGGAGAGGCCCCCTTCTCAATTTTTCCAGTATTACCAATTCCCTGCCCGCTATCCATCTCGAGTGCTTCGTGTGGACCTCCCTCCGTCGACAAGCGACAGCTCGGTGGATGCAGACAATAAAGTCACATCCCCCCTGCCCCTTCTCGACCCAAACTCATCGTCGATGGACGCGTCCTACACAGAGTCTGTTTCGCTATACCGGAAAAAAAAAAAAAAAAAAGGGGCCACGCCAAGACCTTAATTCCAATCAAAAGGTTTCTCTCTAAAAAATGCATTTTCCTTTAACTCCTGGAAGAAAAGCTGGGAACAA